TCTATTACATCGCATTAATGCACGCTCCATCGAGCTCGAGCATTCTCCAGATAATGTTCGTTCGCTGCGTTCGATTAATTCGTACGGTATTTTCAAGTTTATCTTTCGTTTGTGACGGCCGTACGCGCGATTCCGTACGAAAGAATTTGCACCGGATCCGAATACGCTTCCATCAAAATCTACGCTAAAACTGTGTCGGCTTGTAGATTAAACTAATCTAGCGTAATGTAATTGCACAGGCTGTTAACTTATCCAATTTCAGACGACAAGTCGACTTGCTTCTAGAATTACTTGAAATATTCGTTGCACGATAAAAGAAGCTGGTTAAAGAAAGGTCACGATCGCTCGTGTCATTCTGCACGGTAACAAGAATGATCGCCTAAGGTTTTGCTCGAGCGGGATGCTCTCGCAAGTTTCGCGAATGAAAAATCGTGCTCGTGTGCTCCAAATCGTCTAAACATTAAGCGGAGCGCAAAATAGCTAGGAGACCGGGCCCGTTCTATTAAAATCCGTAGCGTCTCGTGAATAATCGAATCGTATATCTCAACCGCTAGAATAGTTCTGGCCGCCCGTTTCGCTACGGTAAATCGGCGGGGACACGCGTCGATTTTTTATGTAACTTTCAGCGATGTTTATTCTTGATTATACAGTCGTAACTCTTCGACGAACGATACATAAATCTTTTCCAGATGCAAAATTCTTTTATAGTAAACGGATAGAGTAACGTCAGATAGAGTAACGCACGATCTATAATTCTTTGGAAAAAACGCACGAGCTACTTTAAAATAAAAGATACCTTGATTTCGTAATGAAAATATATAAAATACGATGCAAGTTTCGATTGCAAAGTACAATTGATCGTGTCCCTTGTCAATTTCTTACGCGCCCATAATTTTTGGGCATATTGCACAAACTTTTTCAAGATGAAAGATTTCTTGGCTTCGTATGATACGAAAATATATAATAGCATCAAATTTTGGGTTCCACCGAACAAATGATTGTGCCATTTGCCAATTTTCTTTCGTCAAGAATAGGATTGGCAGCAATTCCAGAAGGGTTTCCTAAGGGAAGCTAACATCGGGAAAATTAGATATCGCGTCGCCCGGGTCGGTCCAATTGCCGTAATTATTTAAAACCGGCGGTTTCGGGTCTGAAAAACTACCGGCAGCGTTCCCGACGTTGCTGAAACGTCCAATTTGCGTCTCCGCTGCGGCACACGCGGTGTTTAACCGCACAACGAGCCGCAGAGGGGTCACCCGAGGGAAAAACGAGATCTACGTTCGGATGAAATTTCCTCCGACGACAATGTTTTCGAAAGGGCCGCCCCGGAAGAATGCAAGCGCCGCGAGGTCCAAGCCGAAGTTTAAACAACTGAATAAACTGACCGTGAGCACCGAGAAGATTTTTTTCCTAAAGAGAGGGAGTCGCTTCAGCGGCGAGCGGTTTTCGCGGAAAAAGTCCGAGGAACCGCGGCTCGACGGCGACCAAGTCGTTCCGCGATAATCAGGGAAACGGTTCGCGCGGAAAAAATGATTCTACCGGGGCGGTGACAATCGACCGAACGAGTTTTTCATTGGAAATACCGCGTCGCTTCGAACCGCGCGACAAAAGAACGCTCCGCCGCCGTGCAAAAGATCAAAATTGCCAATAAGGGAGGCAAGAGTTCCGGAAGAATTTTTGCAGCTCGGAAAATTATTAGACCGGCCGGCGTATTGTTCGCCGGGGGAATTGCAATTTTATGTACCGCGACAGAGTGAAAACGAACAATTCCGCGCGGGTGGTTCGGGGAAATTTCGGCGGAGCACGGCCAAAATTCCGCGCTGAATTATTCAGAAGGGTATCATGGGGCTATGAGAAAAATACCAGTCAAGTGTTTCTTTTTGGCGGCCCGGCCACAGATTAAAAAACAGGACCAAGACCGGCCGGGCGGGGAATTTTCGAGGACTCGGGCTGGTACTGTCCAGTCATAACCGGAGCTGGAACAGTCGAGGGGAATATTGGAATCTGTGCGAACCCGAGCAGCCTGCAAGAGACATGCATGCATATTCCATTTACTCCGCTGCTCTTATTAACGCGTCTCTCTTTGCCCCGTGCTTCGCGTCCCTCTGTTACACCCCCAGTTCCGTCGTTTTCGATTTGTTCCCATTTTTCTTCGCAATTATGAACATCGCAAACGCCTCGTAATGCTCAAACTTATTACCTCGTAATGCTCAACCGTAATACAGGTGAACGATTCGCGAGATCAAAGCGCCCCTGACCCCGCTTTGACCTATTTTTAAATAAGCTCCCCGAAAGCATTGTTCGATTGATTCGATTCGAATTGTGCGTACAGGATCTTAACGAGACTATGTATCTTGAAACGAAGTCGTTTTTCCATCCCCGCTTTTCGTTTCCTAATTATCGATGAAACTTACTTTCTCAAACGTTATCTTGGAAGGCTCTAAACAAAAATCGTCGTATCTTATACCAAAATGAATCTTCCATGTTGAAAATTTCTACGTATATTCTTCGAAGCAAAGTCTAAATATAGGAGAAATTTAATGAACCTACGTTAAGCGGTTCGATTGTTACAAATTTCTAGAGGATGCGACGAACGCGCTTACTTTTCGGTTCGGTGAACAGAAACCAGAGAAATAAATTACTGTAAGGGCGAGAGCTTTCGAATGACCGAAAGGTTGAGAGAAAAAATGTCCAGCAACTGTCGCAGCTAAAAAATAGTATCACGGTTGACCGCTCTGAATTCAAGCGACGTTGATAAGGAACGCTATGCCCAGTCGTTTCTGTCTGTTGGCCAGCGGACCGAGAAGATAATGCTTGGATACGTCGATGCGTTAGAAAGTTGTTGCAACGAGGACTCGTCGAAGAACACGGGAGAATGCGATGGGACCGAGCATGCATGCGGTCTTTGAAAGACTGAGAATTGCGCGCGTCCGCGAGGAACTGCGATTACATATTTCGATGACTTTCGTTCGCGAGCCGGCGCGGCTTCGCGATAATTATTTCGAACCAGACGACGACTCGTTAATAGGCACGCCTCCGTGCAGATCGACCGGTCTGTTTTTCGCTAAGCGCCCGCTTTCTAAATCGCTTCCGATGCCGGGCGGAGGAAATGGTCACGCGAGTCCCCGTCGAAAGTGGAAAGCAGAGGAGGATCGGATATGCCCGGCCGGTGGAAAGTTCGGAAAAAAGAGCGGAACCGTTTCGATTCACCGTCGATAATTAACGCGAACGCTAATCGACCTTAATAGACTTGGAAGACGCCGCGGGAACCGTTTGGAAACTGGTCGGCGCGGCGGCGCCGTGAAATTACAAGAGTTTTCTCCTTGACCGCGCGATGGGCTCTCCGAATAGCTAATTAAGTGGAGCTGCGTGGCTCGGTTATTAGCGACGATGCTGGGGACCGATGTCCGAGTCGTGTAAACGAGATCAGGCTCGAACGGAGATTATGCTCGGCGCAAGCCACGCTCTGCCCACCGATCGCGATATAAATCCTCGTTTTTGAAGTTTGATCGATGACAACGGGAATTAGACGCCGACGTCTTGATAAATGTTTTTGGTGAGCATCCAGGGGATTCGAAGGGAGATCGACGTCTCTTCCAGACAGGCGCGCGAGTTTCTCGGATCGAATGATCTTGAATATAAATACCGTGCCTCGGACATTCTAGGAAATGGCGACGATTGCGCAAGAATGGTCCAGATGGGAAAAGACGAGGACCTAACGACGCGCGTCACGGCTCGGAATAATGCAAATTTAATGTTGATATCGTCCCGCGAAGTTAGGCAACCGTGGGTGGCCTGGATCAAGCCCAAAAGTGGTTGTAAAGAGCATCGACTCGAGGAATTACCATTTTGCGCAACGCAACTGCTTGCTCGGCCATCGCCTAAACCTCGAAACGCGTGCATTTTGCATTTTGTATGCTCATTCTACGGACGTATTCAAATCGAGGCGATAAATTTCGGAGCGAACAAGAATTTCAAACGGACGACCGTAGGAGAAACTTCGTTCTAGTTTTTAAGGCGAAGCGTCCAGATGAAATTTTACGACGAATAATTAGCCAAGCCATCATCTTTTATAGCGATAGATATGCTTAGTTATATTTAACGTTTATGGTATCGATTATAGCGAAAACGTGCTAGCACGGACAAGGTATAGGAGTGGACCTTCTTAGCAAAAATCGAGTATTCGGTATACCTCGTTTGCGTTCCGCCGCGTTTCATGATTTGGAAGCGAATAAAAATTCTTATGCGACATGTATATTCTAACATTGGCAACGAGTACTCGTCCGTGCTATTCTTAATAATATCAATTACACTGAAAAGATGCTAGTGCACGCCCTGCGGTAATAAAAAAGGGAAAACACTTTTATCGACGCGTTCAGATAAAAACCCTCTGAAAAAGCATCGATTATTCAACCGGCAACGACAACATGGCTGCACGACGTTCGACTGTTATCAGGGGCTCAGACGAGGCTCGTGGAAACAAAAATTCGGCTGATAAAATCGACGACTTCTGATGCCATCGGACCAGCAATTTCTGTATCTCCGGTTGGAATGATAATGGACCGTCCGACATATATTTATAAGCAACCGTTTTCCTCACCGTCTTCGATAGATACAAATTTTCGTAGAAATCGTTCCTCCCTAATCAAAAAATCCTTCTACAAATTTCTCCACAGATGGACAGTTTGAAACAAACTAAAAATCGATATCCCTGATTTGGAAAGATTTTCGAGTTACAAATAAAATTAAAAATCGAATGAAATTCTCTTTCGCAGAGCTCCCTAAATTCTATTTTGGAGTGTCCTCGACCTATTTGATGTATAAAATTTTGGATTTTTTCGCCGGATAGGAATTTGGGAATAGTTTTCCGCAACAGTGCGAGGTGAATGCGTTATCGAGCGAATACTGGGGGATTCCCAGCTCGTTGCTTCGAAATACGTTTCTCAGATGGTGTTCCCGTCGTGTCGACGACAATGGCACGTGAATCCACTCTAGCAAAGCGACGACAGTCATCGACAGAAAGGGAAATGACTTTTTGACAACAGAGGAACGAGTAACCGATTTCGTGGTGTGCCGTTATCGCGCTGGCCGATACGAATTCGAGCGGCGTCTGCAAACGCGGTCCACGCGAGTTCACAAACGATGCTCGATGAAAGAGAACGCTCTGATGTCCAATCGATCGCTGTGAATCGTAATAATGAACGACTGCAGCGAGTGCTTCTTTAGAACGTTACACGCGAAGGAGCAGCGTCGAATGGCCTTATTCCTTACATGACGATTATTGTTACGACTATACTTATTATGGAACGTTTAGAAGATTAGAGCTACCGAATGCGGCTTTTAATGGCATTATAATATATATATATATATAAATATATATAGTACACTAAATGCTCCAAAAGTTAACATGAACTGTTGAAGGAGTTTATATTTATGCAAGCTTCGTGAACTTATCTGAGGTAATCGAATCGATCAGGATGGGGTCGGAACAAAGCTCTCAAGGCGGTGCACAAAACACTGGCTCAGGTAGGACCAGAGGTGCTCCATTGAGGCGTGGTAAAAGCGTACCGAATCGCGAGAGAGTGCCGGAGGACACTCCCCCCAGGTGCATCAGCCCTGGTGCCAGCATTTGTTCGGATTCCGACCTACCATATATATCTTACACGGTGAACAGACCCATCGGGGACTCGCCAAAGATGACTAACAAACAATCACAACTGTACAGAGGCAAGAGTTTAGGTGCACAGGATATATCTAGACGTAAGAATAGCTTAGGATCTAGCAGTTACAGGTAACGATCTCCCGACGTATTGAATTAGTTTATCGGATACAAGCAGCTCGAATAAAATTGTTTATTTCAGGAAATCTACCTCTGATAAAATTCACAACATAGTAGTAGTGAAACCAGCTGTTGCAGACCCTTCAGCCGACAAGGATCCCGATTTGGTCAAGTTACAAAGTATCCCCATGTTCCTACCCATTATGCGTGGTACTCTGAATTTGCCACCCGGCGTTAGAGACCCCGAAGTCCTGGAGAGACTGGATCCCATTGGTCTGTTCAATCTGTGCGCACGCTATCAACATCACCTTAATAACAATGCTCAAATGATTGCCGGGGAGCAAGCTACTCTCTGCATCAATATAGAACCCGAAGTTACCAAAATGTTCAATCTGGCGACGGAGAGGCAAAAGAAGTTTGCCAAGTTTGCCGAACAACTGAACAAAGTACACGAGCTTAGCAAGCAATTAACCAAGTGTCATTCTCTCCTGAATCAAACCCTGGAGAGCCTGGATACATTGAACAACCTTCTACCTATAGAAGAGAGACTGGAACCATTTGTATGGACTACCGGATAAATTGTTGAAGGTATCAAAGAGGTAGCTCTAGAAGCTATATTGTATTCAAAAGTACATTTGCACTGGTGCTAACACAATTTGGATCTACCTGTTAGAGTATTCTTCTAGTATTTTTCTTTTATTGTTCGGTACAAGTCTGTATTAACAACCCTTACCCTAAGACTTCTAGTACCTACACGCATCTTGCACAGAAAGCTCTTCTATAAAAACCTACTCTATATATAAATATATATATATATAAATATATATGTCTATTTTCATGTTAATCCTATGATTGTATTGTAAAAAAAAGGAAAAAGAATATGATGTTTAATTTCAAAAATACATACAATTTCCTATCATTAAAAAATTGTACATTTTATTAAAAAAAAATATTCAATCAAATATTAACAGTACAATAGAATGATTTGTAGCATCCTGGTCATCACAGGCAAACAATCTATAAAACAAATGCAACATCATGATTTACATACCCTAGTTGTCTTCGAAAGACCGATGTGCTTTCAGCCTCCTGTATGCTTCTATGATGTCGTTCTGATCTTTCTCCAACTGTCTTCTTTCTCCAATTGGTAGATTCCTAAGTTTGCCTGTCCTATTTAACGCCTTCTTAGAACCTGATATTTTTTTCTCACTATTCTTCAACAAGGAATGTAGGAGAAGATTTTTTTTGCCAGGCTGTAACAGAATAATAAATATTCTTTAATTCCTGTAGAGGCAAAAACAAGGTAAAGTTTGAAGAATATTAACCTTAGAACTGATGGTTGAGTCAGCTGCCTTGGGTCTAATCTTTATTTGCGGTGGTTCGTGAACAACTTCTCCAAACTTCACTTGGTCTTTCATGTCCCCAAAATCCTTCGCATTTTCCTGTTCTTTCCTCTCCTTCTTCGACTTCAATTTTTCCCTCCTCTTTTGGTTTTTTGTCATCTTAACCTCTGTTACACCTTTCTTTTTCTTTTTTTTAATATTTTTATGTTTCGCCCTCAACATGTCAATCTTATCCAATTCCGTCATCTCGCATTTCGAAATTCCTTCTACGTTTCCCGTTTCCGGGTTTCTATTTACTTGAACTCCAAACTTCTTTTCAAAAGCAGTCTCGTTAATGAAATTATGCGTGACCGTATTGACTCTGTGTAAAAATTGATACTCGTTTTCATTGGGTCTTTGTTTGAAAACGGGAACGACTTTCTCGGGTTTCGATTTTGGGTGAGACTTCGGAACTTTATCGCCCACAGTTATCAGAGCGTTCTTTTTCTTCCTTTTTCTGGCGATTATTTTCTTTATTTTACCCGATTTCACCGCTTCTTTCAGCTTCACCACTCTCTCCAAACTTTTCGGTACCGATTGCTCGTCCACATCTTTCGGTGGCGCGTTTATCTTCGTTTCTAACCTACAACACGCCGAGTCGAAATCTATGTAAAGAACTCGTTAAAAATTACTGAATTATTATTCAACTCACTCTGCGTGTCTTTTGGCCTGTTGTTTCAAAGGATCTTTCACACCTCGGTGCTTCTTTCCAGGGATTTTCCGCCCCATTTTCCGCGAATAAACAACCGCGCGACTCTCACGTGGACCACAATGCCGCTGCTGACAAGCGAAAAAGGCGGTTAAAATGGCGCGCTATAAACTCAAATCAAATTCAACTGTTACAACTATCCACATACTTAATATTTACACATTTAACTGTCGTACAATCTCTGAATTAACCATTTTTTATTATAATGTGTCATGCATCCGTTTATACAAGAATTTATGTTCGTTAAATTTTCCCGCAATTTTCTTGGCGGTCAAATCCGCGCGAAAGTTGAACCGACTGGTCCAAATTTAAAACGAGCGTCTCTTGTAAAACGTAAAATCTGTTTAAATAAATAGACTGGAAACCATACGCATCGTTTTAGCTGCTTCAAAGATAAGTTCTGTTAAAAGAAATTATACTAATGACAACAATAAAATATAGATACACGCGGCAGCTAAACGCATTGTAAGTGGAGACATCTAGAAATGTCCGATCTGTCGATGCAAGGTATAATTGTAGCGGCCAAGGAGGTTAGAGGACAATCTAACGTTTTATAAATTATTCGTAGTTCGTTTAAAAATTCTAGGACACAACGTTAACACAAACCATCAATTCCACTCCCAATAATCACTTGTAAATAATTTTCTTGTTTTCTCAAACAGGTGCATCCACAAAGTGCAACGGAGGCAGCGATGAATTCAGTTCGGTTGATTACTAAAAATCAATCATGCAAGTGTCGACAAATCTACTCCACGTGCAGAAAGTGCATCGACAGCGTTCAAGACACGTCCGACGAGAAGACAGCACAGAAAGCGGAAGTCGATGATTCCTCTTCGATGGACGACATGGTGGAGCCCACGAATTGTTGCATGTCTGGCTGTCCGAATTGCGTGTGGATTCAATACGCGGAGAAATTGAGCGGCAAACTTGAAAAGAGCGACGTGAATTTGCAAAAACTGATCATGGAGAAAGTTCAAGACCCAAATATGAGGGCGTACCTAACGATGGAACTTAAATGTAGAAATCTTTTCAAAGATTGAGTCACTTCGTTGCGCAAACTGTATATATGTACCATACGATAGATGTAATTCAGTTTTGTACAGTCCTAAATTAAAAATCACCTCGACACAATGCTTTCATTTCGGCTACCTTGCCACCCGCATTTCTTGAAACCGGTCCAACCGCTGTGCAATTCGAACGCGTCGCACCGGAAACGACGCCATGTTTCACGCGTAGATATAGCACGGACTTTTTGATTGATAGCACCGCTTTCCTCTCGTGACGTTTTCAGTGCAATACTTTAACGAGATTACCGAGAACTCCTTAAAAATGTTATAGTCGATGCAGACGATTAAAATAGATCTTACAGCCCGTTTTCTTTGTAATTGAATCAGATGTATTTTTAGCCACCAAAGAATCAATTGTAAAGTCTATTGTCAGGCTCCGAATTGAATTTGACTTTCTATCGACCAACCACAAGTTTGTTCTTCGATTTAGTCGATCCACATTTTCTCCCTAGGAACTGGGGGCTCTGAGAAATCTGGGGAAACTGCGGTTTACCGGTGAGGCTGCGTCATCTAGCGGTGGTCCGAGCTACTTCCTGCCGTTTCCACACCATTTACCTCGTTAATTGAAACAAAAATGATTAAGTATGCAAATTGAATACCTGTCCGAGGATACGTAACAATAGAATCGTTCTTTTCAGAGGAGACCGGCGCAATTTCTCGCGATTCGCTTCGATCCCGAGACTGGGACACGCGGCGGCCGGTTTCGGTTCAATTAAGAACTAAGAGATCCTCGCTGTTTTAAATTATACAACCGGATGAAATTATAAAGTGGAATACGAAGCCACACCGAAGCAGAACCGAAACGTGCATCAAATGCGCATCAAACAATAATAAATTATCGCGGAGAAGCCCCGATTTCACCAGAGAATTCTTCCACGTTTTCAGAGTGGATCGAGGCCTTCGATGACCCGAAAACCGAAAACGAAAGCGTGAACCAAAATTTGCAAGAATTTCTAAAGCTCCTCGCGGCGCAGATCACCGATGACAGGCCGCGACAATCAAGCCCGAACGATCTCTTATCAACGTTCGCGACCCCATAAGCAGGCCTCGCAATAATCAGACATCTGCGCGCATTTTTGCGCACAGTTCATGCCGCTTATTTACATTTGCATGCATATGTATAAAGGCACTCGTGCCTCTTACGCCAGTCGGGAGAATGTGTGACACGTACCAACGTGTTGGCGATCGAGGAGGCGTTCGTTCCGCTCGTTTCTCTATTTATGCTGTCAGTGACACATAAATCGCCGGAAAAATCAGCGGACAAAGAGAAAGAGAGAGAGAGAGAGAGCGAGAGGCAGAGAGAAACAAAGAGACGGGAGAAGAGAAAGGGAACAACGAGCGAGACCGCGCGCACGAAAATCAATTTGACGGATCGTTGTCGTCCGTTCGACGCGAGGACTTCCAAAAAATAATCCTCGACTTCCGAAATCCTCCATCTCCGGTACATTGGAACGATCTAAAAATAATGTAAAACAAACGCTCGGGTCGGTAGACCGTTCTATTGCGTCGAGACTCTCGCAATGACATCAGCGATAAGCGCCGTATGGTTGGACTATCGAATCCACTCGTCGAAGACCTCGCCGCAGAGAAAAATCCAACGGAGAAGTGTGTCAGCGGAAAAAATGCCGCGTCGAAAAACCGTCAACTTCGTGTGCCGGTCCCACATAATCTTATCTTTGCCCCTGCCCACATGTCAAGCTCGCGACTGCACACCCACACATCCGTACACACAGCTCGAACGAATGTGCTGCTCCGCGCACACATAGATCCCTGTCTCCGTCGGTGTTCCGCGTTTTTTCCGCACACAGATGAATCAGTGGACACGCGAGCACCTTTCCATACGATTCTTCGCGTCTCCGCGACTACGAAAATAATACGGGAAAACAACATTTTGTACGAGCTACGCACGTTCCACGATCTTCGACATACTGATCGTATCTACGCGCAGCGCCCGATCCGCCTTCGACACGCTGTTGCGATTCGATAAACCTTTATTTGCCACGATCAAACAAGACGAATCTGGAGTAGCGACTTTAGCCGACCGATTTTAAAATCGATATTGTTTGTACTACAACACTCGAACACGGTACGCGCGATGTTCGATCGTATCCACCTGGAACGAAATTCTTTGCTGCGCCGTCGTTGTTTAACCGTTGCAGAAAACACAGACGTGCAATCCGATCGACGTAACTGTACGCTAACGAAGATATAGTTCCAACGACCGTGTGCCAACAAACATTAACGCCACGAGGAATGTTCTACTCGATAAATTCGTTTGTTTTCCCGTTATTGTTCCGTTGAAATGAATTCGTAAGATCAGAATTTGAGAATTTGACAAAGATCCGAACGAAGTTTTTTTTCCTAAAACAACACGTTACTCCGAGCATATTCCGATGCAGCGTCTAAACGATTTTTATCGAGCACGTGGAAGCCAGTGACCACCGAATCGCAGCACTATTTACTTTCGCACAATGTCCGCCGATGCCCAAAGAATCCTAAAAAGAATGTAGAGCTGTCCAGAGCGTTCCGCCTATTTAAAAATCAGCGCGGCCGTTAATTTCTTTGCTTTTGGTCACAATTGCGTTGGTGGAGGCGAGCCTGTGCGCGCGTGTAGGATCGTGTGCGTGGATTATTTTCGCTTATGCCGCGGCGCACGCAATCTCAGAAGTGGTTCTCCCGTTGACAGGTTCCGAGCGGGTTTTCGCCGGCTTTCGACGAAGCCGTCGATCGAGGAGTGCCACGGCAGCGCGGCCGATCCAGCACCGATCCTGCCTAGATCCTCGCCGAGCGACCCGGGATCCACGCCGGCAGGCGAGAGTGTCGTGATCGTGATCGTGATCGTGATCGTGATCGATCGGCGCGACGCGACTCGACGCCGGAACCAGAAATCCGACCGACGTGGAGTTCTTATGCAACAACCGGCGGGGGACAGGTGGACAGGACGAGACCGTGGATCGTGGATCCGCGGCGATCGTGGATCGTGATCGGTCGCGATCGCGTCACGGCCCCGCGAAATGGAAGGATCGTCGTCGCGCGTCGTCGTCGCCCGTGTGAATTATGAATGGTGACCGCGACGAACCGGTGCAGCTGGCGCGAATTACACGCGAATTGCACGCGGAAGCTACGAGATCCCGAATCGACCGGCGATTAGATCTTCGCTGCTCGCGTCGCCGGGAAATATAGAGACAATCGACGGGACAGCGCGAGGCGATCGAGAATCTTAGTGTCGCGGAAGTCGTCGGCTGTGCAATCAGTGTCATCCGGGATTTCCCGGAGAGCTTCTCAAATTGCGGATAATACTTTATGCTCGCTGCTGTGCAAAGACGGATTAGCGTTTTCGAGAATCCGTGGAAAATTCCGGTGCCGGTGGAATCCGTGGAGAAAGGATCGAGAACGATATTGGTGCTGTGATCAGTGTCGTTTAACCTAAGTATATCGAGAGATCTCTTGGAATCATCTCGTAGACGAAATCCTCGGATTTATCGAGAAAAGCAGTGCTCGAGGAAAACTTCGAGCTTCGTTTGGAATATCGATGAGGATCGATGAAAAGGCTCGTCCTGCTGGCCCGGAACAGGCCGAGAAGATCAACCGAGAACCGGAGCGCTCGGGGAGACAAACAAAATATTTGAATCGGTGCTACGAAAGTCAAGTTCCAAGGTTCTCTCTGCGCTTCGAACAGAAAATGCTGCTTCGTTCAGCGAGGATTCAAAAAGATCTAGAATCACGCGTTCTCCCTTTGTTCGTGGACAACGCCGGTGCTGTGTGATTCGAGCACAAGGATTCCGGCGGCTGTTACAATCGTCTCTTTGTGACCCGAGATAAACTTTGCAGTTCCATTGAGAATCGCCTTCTCTAGAGTCTAGAGTCTAGAGTTGCTAGGATCGCCGAAAGATTTATCGCGAGAAGCATCGGGCGAGAGCGACATTTTCGGAGCGGAAGCGGTCGGACGGAGGAAGCCGCTGTGCGGCGACTTTTGTTTCCGATGCGAAATATCGGTCGGCGTCCGCGCTGGCTCCGCGGAAAATTGATAACGATGACGGAACGGGCCGAGAATAAACGATAGAATGAGCGTTTGCACGAGAAATCGCACGGCGGCCGATGTGTGCCGTGGACGTGGCCGTGGAACTTGGAACGCTCCGGTGAATTTCAACGCGACCGCTTTGCATTGCAAACTGGGGGGCGTTCCCTGACGCGTTATGTCTTTTTCCACCGGTCGGTTTCAACGATCCCTGTTTGTATCTTCCGGTGCAGGCGCCGGTGCCGAGAGCTCGGAAGACTCGCCGAAGGGACCGTGGAGAACCCGAAGCCGAGGCGGACCGGAACAAAAGGCGCGGGAAGAGAGAGCTAAATCGGTGGAATCGGAAGGGAATGCTCTGTAAGTGGTGTCCGTGGCAAATCGTAAATTCGACCGACGTCTTCGCGAAGTAAACCTCGGTTGAGGCTATTGCTGGATTCGCAGAGGAAGGTTTTGCCAGCGACACCGTGCCCTCCCCGTGCAATTCAATAATCGCCGAGTTTCCCGCGCGAGTGGACAAGAGACTGGCCCCGCCGATGCTCCAAGACCGTCGTCGGAGATCGAACAGAGAGAGGAGAGAGAGAGAGAGGCTTTTCTCTCGTGCACGCACCACCGCGCCGATACGCGAGCCGGTAGTCGTAGCTGAAGAAGTTCACCCGCGGGTAAAGCTATAAATACGAAAAAGCGAGAGAAGGGACAGCACCGGTGTCGGCGGCATCGTTCGGGATCGTTCAACGAAATGCTCATGACCGAAAAAGGGTCTCACAGGGAAGGAACCAACGTGGAATCGGACGAGCATTCGACGGCGACCGCCACCGGCAACGAAAACCTATTGCCATTGAACGAGCTGCTCGTTAACTCGACGGTTCCTGCGGCCGCGGTTGCGGCGAAACTGAGCGAGGACTCCGCCGACGAGGCTGGACGAACCAATGCCGAGAAACAGAGGCGCGGTATTCTTAGCAGCTTCCAGAGAAGAACGTTCAGCAGGGTCAGCTTCAAGGGAGAGACCGGCCCTTTATTGAGCAGGTGCCACTATCTCTCATTTCTCGCGGCTCCGCGTACACCCTGCTCGATGTTTCCGTTCGGCTAGGGTTGCGGAACCGGTTACCGCGGGGTGACCAACTGCTGTGGCTTTGGTTCGTTTTCGTACATAATTAACTTCACATTTATCGAATGCTACACACATTGCTTACGACAATGCTTACTACATTTTGTAATTCTTTTATTTGGCTTATTTTCGAGCAAAAGAATTTTTTTATTCTTTTATTTCGGTTGTTTTTGAATACGAAAATGTAATATATCTTATTCGATAAATATAAAGTAAATTGTGCCCGAACCAAAGGCACATTAATTGATTACAACACGATAACCGGCTCCACTATGCTGTATTCTTATCAAAATCGTCCGCTGCTCGAGGGTTCATGATGGGAGAAAATGCGTAAAGAGGATGTTTCACTCAGAACATCGATCTTGAGAAAAGAATCTCTTCTATGAAAATACTTGCTGCTCTGAGTCGCAATATTTTTTCCTTGCACATTTTCTCGCATCGTCGAAAATATCAGAGATATTTTAGGTAAACATCTTGGGTGACACACTTTATCTAAAGTTTTGGATTTTCACCGATTTGATTCGTTGGACAGGCTATAGGGGAATCGCGAAACTTTACGTCCTATGTTTAATGCATTTACAACCGAAAATGTACCAACGATATGCAAAAAGAGTGACCTTCCAGAGAGCCTTCTAGTTCATGCTGTCATATTTTTCGCCGAATCATTACGGCGTTGATAAACGAACTCATTAAGGAGATATACGTGTTGATGGATTATCAATCGAGCACGTTTCACCGCGATAATAGGGACGGTGCAAGCTTAATTGCACGAACGAGGTGCTAACAAAGATCGTGTGACTTTTGGCGCATATTTTTGATTGGATAGTTTTAGTAGCACCGTTTTTAATTAGAAACCCGAGGTCCGCTTCGACGAAGATAATTGACTTTTACGAGCCTATCGCGTTGCATATTTATTGCAAATAGCTCATTTTGCTGGGTGATAATGGGGTATTAGTAGAACCGAGGACCTTCGAGGAATCCGAGCCAGTGTTTCTTTGCTTCCTGATCGAAGCTCTGGCAAATATACAAACAATTATCATTCGTTCCGATGAATACTTTCGCATGGATACATCGATTGTAAGTGCTTGTGCTCGGTGATACTTGGATCTTGTGTAATTATTCTTCGGTCGAGCAGAGTTTATAGATTTAAAAGTGCATAAAATTCGTCGATGAAGCGACACCGTCTCGTCTTGCGTACAGAGCTCGTTAGAAAGAAATGAATTCAATATCAACCCCTTGCACTACGATTTCTTTCGCAATATTCACGACCAGTCTGTCACGTTGTCGTAGTGCAACCGGCCAATCGTCGTATCATCGAGGTACAGTAATGTCTCCCTAACACCAAGAACAATCGTATCTCCTGTTTCCAAATTNGGATGTTTCACTCAGAACATCGATCTTGAGAAAAGAATCTCTTCTATGAAAATACTTGCTGCTCTGAGTCGCAATATTTTTTCCTTGCACATTTTCTCGCATCGTCGAAAATATCAGAGATATTTTAGGTAAACATCTTGGGTGACACACTTTATCTAAAGTTTTGGATTTTCACCGATTTGATTCGTTGGACAGGCTATAGGGGAATCGCGAAACTTTACGTCCTATGTTTAATGCATTTACAACCGAAAATGTACCAACGATATGCAAAAAGAGTGACCTTCCAGAGAGCCTTCTAGTTCATGCTGTCATATTTTTCGCCGAATCATTACGGCGTTGATAAACGAACTCATTAAGGAGATATACGTGTTGATGGATTATCAATCGAGCACGTTTCACCGCGATAATAGGGACGGTGCAAGCTTAATTGCACGAACGAGGTGCTAACAAAGATCGTGTGACTTTTGGCGCATATTTTTGATTGGATAGTTTTAGTAGCACCGTTTTTAATTAGAAACCCGAGGTCCGCTTCGACGAAGATAATTGACTTTTACGAGCCTATCGCGTTGCATATTTATTGCAAATAGCTCATTTTGCTGGGTGATAATGGGGTATTAGTAGAACCGAGGACCTTCGAGGAATCCGAGCCAGTGTTTCTTTGCTTCCTGATCGAAGCTCTGGCAAATATACAAACAATTATCATTCGTTCCGATGAATACTTTCGCATGGATACATCGATTGTAAGTGCTTGTGCTCGGTGATACTTGGATCTTGTGTAATTATTCTTCGGTCGAGCAGAGTTTATAGATTTAAAAGTGCATAAAATTCGTCGATGAAGCGACACCGTCTCGTCTTGCGTACAGAGCTCGTTAGAAAGAAATGAATTCAATATCAACCCCTTGCACTACGATTTCTTTCGCAATATTCACGACCAGTCTGTCACGTTGTCGTAGTGCAACCGGCCAATCGTCGTATCATCGAGGTACAGTAATGTCTCCCTAACACCAAGAACAATCGTATCTCCTGTTTCCAAATTGTCCATTTTTGTGGACAACCTGAGCGTCAATTAGAGAAACATTACTGTATTCTAATACCGTCGAACGCAAGGAATATCCAGACAAACTGTAATCGCTGCTTCTCTGTATCCATTTCTTGGATACACTGCTCTACAATGCCGCAATTTATTTCAGCGGACGACGGACGTCATAAACTCGAACGCTCCACACACAAAGATGTTCTGTCGAGTGTTTGAAAAAGAAGCCATTGAGGCGACGCGACGGCCAGGTGTATCCGTGCTCGAACTATCGTGATAATTCCGTCAATGGCGCCGCGGCGCCGTCGAAAATACCGGCGTCGACTCGTCGAGAACTGGACCACAATACTCGGGCCGCGACCCCGCGAAAATAGCGACCGGCCGTTCCTGTTTCCCTGCCGCGATCGGCAGAAATCTCGCTTTTCGAGACGAGAATAGAACCGCCTAATTGCGGAAGACGCTGATGCACCGACCAGGCTTTCCCGGCTGGATTTTCTCGCGCCCCTTTGCTCCCCGAGCAATCGTTTCAGCACGTAGGCTCAATTAGGGGTTGCAGCAAGATCTGTCGGAGTTGGACACGCTGCTTAACGAGATTTTAAAACGATCTTTGGGCTTTCGTGGTATAATAACGTTTAGCGATGCCTCGAAGTCGTCATCCGAGTGTAAAGGGTTAAGAAAACGCGAGTTAGGGGTCGATGAAAGATCTAGATCAAAGCGGATTTAAACTTTGCACTTCGGACGTGCATCCATGATTTCTGCCAAATTTTTATCCAAAGTCTGAATTCGTCTTTAGACAAGCTCTGCGTCAAAATTTCCGGTCACACCGCAAACGATCTTAGAAAAAGCTGTCACCAAGCCCCGCGAGGACACTTCCAGACCCGAGAAGACCAGGGTAGCCCATGTACGAGATAGACGGACCTCTAGAATCAGGAGACTGAAAGCAGTTCACTCGATCGCGCCTTTAGGAACCGGCAGAGAACCTGACGACGTCGTCCCGCGAGTTTCGTCGGGATGTGGGTGCACCGCGCGACGAACTGTGTTCGTTGTCGCACCTGAACATCCACTTGACCCGCGGCGTGCGACGTCCGTTGTCATCGCGGCTCCATCTCTATCCGCGTCGCCGAATCTAGCGGATCGGTGCCAGCGGCTGGCGTGCGAGTACAAAAGGAAAATCGTTTGGCCAAGGTTCGAAATTGGATCGCTTCAGTGTCGGCCGAGCCTCCGCTCGCCAACGAGTCCGCTAATTAAACGTGCCCTCTCGGTGGCTCTTCCTCGGCGAGCCCCCACCGTGTTCGCGTTCGATCCTTTATCTCTTCCCGATGATTCCGGCGACCGACGCGACGGTTTTTATAAATAGTCCGGAAAGTGCGTACATCGGTTTTTCGCTCGACGAGAACGGACCGCGTCCGAGGACCCCGAATTTTCGCGGAGCGTAAGCCTCCCTTTTCGCCGACTGTTTTAGCTGCGGCAAAGGTCGGTGCTCGGTTACGCAAAACCTGTGGGCCCCCGATCTAGGGAGAACCGTCTAGCGTCTAGTGTCGTTCGAATAGTGACAACGTTTGGCCGTTGGCGGACGATCGACATCGGTCGGCGGTTTGTTCGCGATCGCGAAGTGTCAGTGGAGTGCCGCCGGGACCGTTCGCTCGGCTTGTTTTCGAGGATCGGTCGGCGTCGTCTGCAGGACGATTACGCGGCCAGATCGTCGCTAAACGGATGTGGTGCAAGCGGCTGATCTGGATCTTCCATTGGCTATGGACACGCTGCGATATCTGGCTTTGACGACGAGCTGCGACGTCCGTCGCGCCTCACCAACGACCGCTAGACCAGCGGCCTCGGGCGTGAACGCTTAAACTTAGACGCCGAATATTCCGGCGCAAGTCGAACCGAAATAATACGTCGGGGCTTTTCACGACGGCCATCTGACGTCCGTTCCTTCCGGCGAGAGTACGCGCCTCTCTCTCTCTTTCTCTTGCTCTCTATCTCTTTCTCTCTTCCTCTCTCTCTCTCTCTCTCTCTCTCTCTCTCTCTCTCTGTCTCTGTCTCTCCTTTCTCTCTATTTTCATTTTTCTAGTCCGCGTAGAGTGGCCCGACACTCGCGCCGAGACAGAGAGACACCACGTGTGATTCGATCCGCATTTATTTATACGAGCCGCGCGCAGAACTCGATTGGATAATCGGTAAACGATGGTCCGCACGATTGTGAGCAACGATCCCGTGGGAACGTCGGTGTGACAAGTGAACAACCGCCGTTACTTTTTTGTTCGGGCGTGAGGAAGCAACCTCGAACGCCTAGACCATGAGATGAAGAGAATGGATGGATCCACGTCGAAAACCCTCTCGCCGAGCTCCTCGGGGTCGGGGAAGGTTCACCTGGGGGACGGCATGGCGTTTTCCGGCCTCAGGAGGGCGCTCTCCCAGGTGTCCATGCTGGTCGTGAAGGCGACCAATTCCGGGGAAACCGCGTGGCGGGAGGAACTGCATAAGTATGCTGTCGCCCCACGAATTTTCCCC